TTTCCTGTGAAAATATTTTTGAAGAAATTATGTGAAAACGTTTATTCAACAGTAACCTTGTTTGTGTCAGACAGACGGACAAAATATACGCTTTTGACTCTCCTGCTCTATTCTGTCTAACTTAAAGACTTAAGATATTACCTCGCCTGTATTTTGGAGTACCCATTGTTTGAAACTGAAATTTTTAAGATTTATTTATTTTGTCTGGTACACGCTTGTGAAAAATATTTCTATTCTTTCCCATTTTTGTTTTGACTTAAGGTTTAGACAATGGCGATACATTACACTCCATATAGCAGTTAATTTGATAACTAATATAACTTAGTATACTGACTAGATTTCGGCAGTGGACTTTCCAAATCCGAAGTTGATACGCCTGGTCTTATGAGATAGTTATTATACGATAAATAGTTGCTTTATATTTATTCCTAACTCCAGCGTGTAAAATAATTACTTTTGTGTCCTAAACGACATATTTAAACATTTTTAGGCTATACTAAGTTGTAAATACTATCGCATTCGCCCACAGCATATCGTTTTGATAAAGAGACAATTAGAAATAACATATACTTTACTGCAATTACACGAGTCAAAGCAGAAATTTAGAAGAACACGTTAGTAGACTTGGTCAACTAGGATCAACGTGGTAGACGTCAAAGGACATTAGAGAATAGCAGTTCAATCTAAATTTAACTCAACATTAAATATGTAACATCGTAGTGTAATGTTTGCTGAATATTGCATTAGTAATAGCAATCCAATAAAAGCCTCTCTGATCATTCATGGCGTCTCAACGTTATGAATATTAATGTGCATTGAAGTTAATAAACTACTAACAGGAATAACACGTTCACCTTTCCATAGTTATTAGTTTTGTCAACTGATATGAAATTTTGTTCCCCATGGCGGTATTTATGTATAGTTAACACTCTCTAAAATATACCTGGTGTTCCGAAGACAACTCGTTTGTTTCAAGTTTTGTACGTCAACTGCTTGGCAGCCAGAAATTTTGAGGTGCAAAGCTCATGTGTAAAATATTGTGAGTAGTAAACACATTTCAGTATTTAAAAATAACAACGTTTGTTCATACGTCTGTAACTCCATACAATTATTTGGCAGCAGAATCAAGATAAAAGAGTATTTTCTTTAGAAGAATTTAATTATTTTGCACCTGCATTTATTATTTCTCAACCTTTATTTGTGTATATAAACTGCAAACACAGAATTTAGCTTATGAAAACCGTCAAGAAACGGGTTAAAGTTACATAATTAAATTTTGTGACCTTACGTAGTCTGATACACAAATTTTGTTTTGATTGTGTTATGTGAACAATAATGTTTTGTGCCTTCTTTCATTTATAAAGCCACATGGGCCTACTTAAAAACCGGAAAGAGTAAGTACACTTTCACCTCAGCAGATAAAAATAAAGAGATTCTACTGGACGTAATATAGGCGCCGTTAAATTGTTATGAATTTTCACTGAGAGAAAGCCAACACTCTCGTTCCTTATGCCAATGTTGCCCGAGGTATATTTGGTTTGATATGCAGGAAGTTTGAGTACCTCACCAGATTGTCGTCTTGAGATAATTGTTATTACACTGACATATTTTAAGATAAAAGAAAAATAATCAGAATCTGTGAGCATAATAAGTCAATTGATTAAAAATTTACTTGGATATTATCCATCGTCTAGTAAATATAAAACGTAAAACGACGTTTCGGAAATGGGACTCTATCTCTGTCTTCAGGTTCCCACACAGTTACGTCCTTTTACGTTTTATATTTACTAGACGATGGATAATATCCAAGTAAATTTTTAATCAATTGACTCTTCACCATCGTCAAGAAGTTTTAGATTTGATAATAATAAGTATAAAATAAAGTTGACTTTCTTTAAGTCGGAGAAAGGTAATATACTCCCAGACAGTGGACAGTGTCAAATCTAAAATTTTCATAAAATTTTAGAGAATCTTTTTTTACTTCTCCAGGTAATCTCATCACGCAAAAACGTACAGAAACGCAATACGAATTGTGGACTGTCTTTTACCCTCGTACTCCAAAGGTTGGAAAGTGTACAACGGTAAAATGGCGTAACATCCCAAAATGTCCAAAACGGTGTTCTATGAGTACTAATTATCTGTGGATACCAAACTGTGCCCCATGATTACAAAAATAAATCATCGGTCATAAGATTTTACTAATTAAAACAACAGTAAAAATTGTTTTTCTCGTTCCAGCCCCGTCTGGAGTGACGTTGAAGAAACGTTAATATTTCTCAGTTTCTACAGCTCGTTACTGCATCTGGATGGACCGTTACTAACAGACTCATTAAACTGCGCAACCACTGTGCCATGTGCTCAGGTCTTATGACCCTGTTAAGTCAGCAATAGAAAGTTATAAGGCATTTATGTTTAGAACACCTGTTCTAGGTACATTAGGACATGATTTCCTGCTTTCATACTAATAGACTTTATTAGAACTATAAGGACCACTGTATGTTCGAAGATTTTCATAGCCCTATGAAACAATCTAATGAAAAGCACCAAGAGTTTTGATTTCCATAACAATTCTTAACAAATTACTGATAAACACTGATCATCTTGACTGCAACCTCTGAATACAGCAAACGTGCGAAATACCTTTAAGTGTTGTCACAGCCTTCGTGCTGTAAATTATAAATTTCGACTGTTTTATCGCACTGCCAGCATTATAAATAACGTTATTTCATTATGTTGCCAACTTCGCCATATTAACCAAAATTTCCCTACGAATCCAGCATTCTGAATTAGAAAAGTTATTCATCGGTAAATAAAATAAAGTAGGCTACACCTAGTTTTGTCTTTACTTCTATTTCAGAATTCATAACGTCGTAAAGTCTAAGATATCATATAAGAATAATTATGCGTCATGATCTCTGAAACTGGGAGACGCTGGACATGAAATACTTGGCGTTAATATTAATATTACAGCATTCCAATCTCGTTGCAAAAAAATGTTGTCGTCAGTTAAACCAGAACCTCTTCCACTATCGGTTTATGATTCGAATTTTCAGCGTAAAATTTAAGTAGTGAAACTACAATTGGCTATGCAAAAATTGTTTCTTTTGGACTTTGTGCTTCGTCTGAATCACAAAAATATTAAATTATAATAAATTACGAGTACAACTTTACACGAAAAAGCATGTAGGAGAGAAAACTTAATATTGT